CTACTTTAGAGAGAGAAGCATTTTGCAAACCTATGGATTTCACAGGAATTGAAAGGGAAAAACCAATGGCACCAAAGGGGAACAAATGGTTGTTGGAAAAAATGTGCGAAGGATGCGATGGATTTCTTCTACCCCCAGAGGGTTTCAGTTATTCAGGAAAATAAATAAAATAGGAAAACAGACATGCATGTCACTACCCATTTTGCCATAGTTGCTTTAAATCCGGGTTTTCCATTTTATTTTAAAGAACAATAATCCACTTTGGAAGCCCTCTACGTATCTCTTCTAATTCTGATCTACTCACACCCCATTCGTGGACCCTCCTATGAATTTATTTACATCTGTGTTATTTGACTAGTGTATGCAGTTTGACTCACAGGGAAATATGTATGTTTACACACATGCTTGTGATGGGCTCTAATTCGGTACATTTTTTATCCCATGATAGCAGTTCTCAAACTTTTTTAATCTAGGTTTCATTTACACTCTTAAAAATTATTTAGGACCTCAAAGAACTTTTGTTTATATGAATTATATCAATACTTACTTGCTTGAAATGTAAACTGATAAATTTACAAAATATATATTATTTAATAACAGTAAATTATTACATATCGACACAAATAACATTTTAATGAAAGAATAGCTATATTGTCCAAGGCAAAAAAAAAAAAAAAAAACTTAAAAGAGTGACATTGTTTTACATTTTTTCAAATCTTTTTAATATTAGGCTTAATAAAAGGCAGCTGGATTATCATATACACTTCTGCATACAGCTTCTGGGAAACTCCACTGTATTCTTGAGAGAGAACAAGAGTAAAACAATACAATAACTTCTTGGTTTTATTGTGGGCCTGAAAGGGTCCAGAGTGTAGGAGGCTCGGGGACCCCGGACCACACCTGCGTGGCCAGCACGGTCTGCAGCATGCTCTGAGTAACATTGTGTTTTGTTTATCCACATTGTTACTTGTGGATCTCCATGATTCCCTCAATCTTCTATCCAGCATACAATCCCACTCTTTTTACTGTTTATATTGTAATTCATTTGTTATTGTCATGCTGATACTCATTTAACAGTGCTGCTTAGAATGGGGTGCCCTCATGGGCATATTCTAGGAGTAGTAGAGTGATGTCAAGTTGCATTCTTAGAAGTCAAATTTGGAGCATAAGGTGTGTATATTCATCTTCAATTCTGAGATAGTATCAAACTACCCTCTAAGATTGTTTCAACTTATACTCTTAGAGTAGCATGTACGTGGATTTCTGTGACTCTACTGGGTCACCAAAATGTGCTCTAGCATGTACGTGGATTTCTGTGACTCTACTGGGTCACCAAAATGTGCTCTACTGTCAAAGTTCTTTACGTTTTGTAAAGTGAACGTGAAATGGTATCTTTTTATTTTAAATATCTTTGATCCTGTGGCTTGTCATTTTGCTTGCGAATTTTTTTGTTTCAAAATGTAAGAAATGAATATAGTCAAATATGTCAATCCCATAAGTTCCCTTTATGGTTTGGCCTTTTTGTGTCTCGATATTTAAAAATTTGTTTTCGACCTGACTGTTGTAGCAGCAGTTGCTGAATGGCTCATCTTTCGCTATTAATTAGTAATACTATACATATATAACAAATATGTAGCTATGTATTTCTGAGTTCTCTATTCTTCTTTTTCTTTTTGTCACTTATTCATTGATTTACAATTGTACATTGGATACCAGGAGTCCACCAGATGCCATTCTTAATACTGGGATAGCTTAGTAAATACAAGTGGCAAATGTCATCTGTGTTTATTACTGAGCTTATATTTTACAAGTTGGGGTGGGTGGGTGGTAGGAAAATTAAAAGCAAGGAAGACACTATATAGCATATCACTTGGCAGTAAGTGCTCTGTGGAAAATCGAAGCAGAGCAAGCAGGATAGGAGTGAGACGCTGGGCAGGTTGGGAAGAGGGGTTGCTGCTTACATAGTGGAGGTTGGGGTGCCCTGAAGGAAGTCTCTGACGAGCATTCCAGCCTTGCGGTGGGAGCTGACAATATTATCCACAAAGAACACAAGGGTGGAGGAGCTCGTGTGGCTGGAGCAGAGTGAGCAAGGGAGCCAGTGTTAGGGGACAAGTAGAGAAGGAGCGTGGACCGGGAGGCTGTTGTAAGGACATGCGTTTTTACTGTTGCTTTGAGAAGACTGGAAGCCGTTAAGTCTTTCAAACAAAGCAGTAACGGCACTTGACTTAAGGTTTCAAAGGTTTGTGCTGACACCTGTGGCAGTAAAGGTGGAAGCGAGGAAACCAGGAAGTGGCAAGCACAGCAACCGAGGTGCAAGGCTTGGTGCGTGGACTTGGATGAAGTGAAGTGGTGGAGATGGGGAGAAGTTTGTAATATGATTTTTCTTCTGTGCCCTTTTTCTGTCTAATAATTTTTTATTGTATGTTAGACAGTGTGCAGATGATTGTAGAGTTCCAGATAATGCCTTTCGTCGGAACAGGTTTTTCTTTGCTGGGTCGAGCAGATTGGGTGAGGGGCTGAGGCAGTCAAGGCTTGAGCTGGGCCTGTGGCTCCTTTGTAGTCTTAGTGGCACTGTTGGCTTGTTTCCGTTATTTTGGTGTGGTTCTTCTAAGCTTTTAATAGAGAGTTTAAAAAGACTGTTGATAATTTGTTTCTTCTCCAACAAATATTTATGTCTAGGTCTTTATTCCTTGCCCTTTAAAGCTTCAGAATCTAAAATGCCATGAAAGAGATGAATTGAGGAGCCATAAATAATTTAACTCCTGACATAAATCGTATAATTTCAGCAATATTATTAGGAACACCTACCATCTAGTAATTTTCTGGAATTTCAGTATTGAGACAAGTGACTTTTAGCACAGAACTTGTAGCAAACAAACATGAATGTTTAATATTCGCATAAAAGTAAAATTTGAAAAGTAGCACACTGAGTTAGGAGACCTTGAAATACAGAATTTTGTTTCTTCCATGAAAATGTTTTTGAATCATTTAAATACTAAACAATTAGCTACTTGCTTGGTTTAGTCAGGTGGTTCTAAGAACTTTCTCGTTTAAATATATCTTATATATAACTTTTTGATATTTTCAGATGCAGTTTAGCATCATAAGAAGAGAAACTTTGAAACATATGAAATTCTGTTCCCACTCTGCCACTTACTGTTCATTTCACTTTGCAAGCTACTTACCTCTATACCTTTGTTTCTTCATCTGTGAAATGGAAATAATAGTGTCCACATGACAGGATTGTTGTCAGGGGTAAAGAGGTAAATCCTCAGAGATTACATAGCATAGTGCTTCATGCTTAGTGAGCCATCGGTAAATGTTAGGATGAGTGTGTTTACTTCGCAGTTTTACATTTTAAATATCTGGTCTCCCAAAGAGAAAATTAAATTAACATACGTTACACACATATTTGATTTAGAAGACGAATGCATTATTATATCCTGCTAGCTAATCCTCTGCCATCACAAAGCCCAACTGCTTTAACATATCTAGCGGTTCATTTTCGGACCTGTACTTTGGTGTCTGATTTTGAGTGTTTAGTACTCGAGAATTTTGGTTCATTACTATCTGCCAGAAGCAAAGCAACACTCATTAAGATACTGCTTCCGAGTAGGTGGGACTCAGGAATTTCCATCGCTCTTGCATGGAAGGTTTGAGTAAAGTCGCTGTCAACATCCGTGTAGACTCTTGCGTGGCCCGTTTCAGGCCGCAGGTGGACCCCTGGGAGGAGGGCTGCTGGGCGTGGCGCAGGTGCACGTTTGAGAGCGCCAGGCTTTTCCCAAGCGGCTGTGCCACTGGGAGACCGCCGCATCGCCGCTGGGTGCCGGGGCCAGCACTTGTTCTGTTCAGAGTTTCATTTACTTCGGCCCAGTAGGTGTCTAGCGGTGTCTTCCTGTGGTTTTAATTTGCATTTCCCTAATGAGTTAATTACATGATGAGAGAAGGGAAGCACGTACCAGGCAGAGGAAGCTGTAAATGAAAAGGCCCTGGTATAACTGCATCTAATGAAAGCCGCTGAAAGATGGCTGCTGTGGCTGGAGCGACAGTTTGGAAAGGGTACCCTGGCTGCAGCAGGAACTCTGGAGGGGAGCGCTGGGAAGCAGGTGTTGTGGTGGCCCAGGTGAAAGAGGATGGGAGCTTGGACCAGATGATGATGTTACAGGTGAGGTGGGCTTGAGAGATTTTATAAAGAAATATCGATAAGACAGTGATTAACTGGATCCTGGTTGCTGCGGGATTGGAAGATTAAGATGATTATCTGTAAGTTCCTGGTACTCATCACTGGATGGATTATGTCCTCGCCACTGCTGTATCTTTCAGCACCTTATTTGGCACATTCAGTAAATATTGAAAATGAAAGCATTGTTTTGGTTATGAAAAGTTATATTTGGCTGTAATATAAATTATATGCGTAGAAAATATCAGTGAAATTAAACCCAATAATTTATACTTTACATTGAAATTTGAAAATACATCTAACGAGATCTACACTATAGTTTATATCTGTACAGTCTTTCCAAACAGTATTTGTGTAACAGGCTGGACAATGCAGTCATTTTGTAAGAGAAATGATGATAATAGACTTCTAACTTCTATATTTTTATTTAAAGTGGTCCGCAAATTTGTTTTTCCCCTTTGAAACACATTTTAGCTTTGTTATAAACCATGTGAGCTTTTTATCAATTCAAAAAATTAGGAACAGAATATTGAAATCTAGTTTCCTCAAGTTCCTACTGCCCCCTTAATTACGCCGAATCTTTCTCTCTCACACTCACACACTCACACACTTTATTGTGGGAAATGTTATCGGAAATGTGAACTGTTTTTGGACCAGTGTTCTCCTTAAAGTAAAGAATTGTAACCTGTACAATATTTTTATTCTAAAAACTTCATTCATTTCTTAAAACATATTTATAACTAGTAATACTGTGATTGAGTGCTGATATTAACATCACAGCCAGCAACACTCACACTGCTTGTGTGGCTGTGTCTTACAGGTGCGTTCTGCTCCCTCTTTTGGGAATGAAGCCTCCCCAGCAAAGCCTGTATCTGCTTGTGGATTCTGTTGATGAAGGCTGTAACGTCACTGAAGGTGAACAGACGTCCACCAGCTTATCTGGGACTGTGGCAGAGCTCTTAGCTGGTCACCATGAGTTCTTTCCGCCATGGCTACTGCTTCTCTGTTCTGCCCGAAAACAGAGTAAGGCTGTTACTAAAATGTTTACCGGTAAGCATGATTACTTCCTACCATCCGCAAAGGTTTTCCTTGGACTAGCATGTGTGTTTCTTTCTTAGAGGAGACTATGCCTTCGAAAGTCTCCTCGCTCTCTCTGCTCCTTCTATCAGTTCTTCTCAACCTTGCTTTAAAGTTGTATTAAAAATAAGCCATAGAGTGTTTTAAGATCCTTTACTATTATTACCTTTTCCAAGGTTCTTCTCCTAACTTCCTTAATAAAGGTTGGGAGGATTTCATGCAATGTTAGCTGCCGCATATCTGTAGGACTGCATTTATTACGCTGTTGTGTAACTACAGGTTTATGATGTCTCTTTTAGCTAGACCGAACTCCTGAGAGTAGGGAATATGCCTTCTTAAAAATCAGTGGCAAGTACCAAGACACTTTTCTTGGTGTGAGAGGAGAGGCAGAGTCAACAGCCTATTGGGATACCTCTTGAAATATATCCTTTTTTAAAAACCGTTTCTGATGTGTGAATGAACAATCTATAGAATGTTTAAAAAGTACATGATCGATTTTTTTTCACTTTTTTTTCTGACTTGTTTTACTTTTCTTACTACCACAATAAAGTTGTGTTTACTCCTGTTAGATTATTTAAAGCATTCTTCGTGCTTTGGAAAATAAAAAGAGTGTAAAACAAGGCCCGCTCACGGGACTTACGTGTAATTGGAGAGAAAATAATTAAGTTATTGGTTAAGTAGCCATGTCGCTTTTAAGTAGTTCTGTATGTTTTACAGTATGGTGAAACCTTATTATTTTGTTAAAATGATTTCCTATAACCAGCTTTACTCCCTCTGCCAAGTTGTCTCTTAGATTTCTTAGCTACTAATGGCAGCTCTTTCAGTTTCCATGTATAGTATTTCTTTTCTGTTGTTTTTGATGAAAATGTAGTTGGTAAAAGTTTGGGGATTAACGTGACAACAGCTGACCCTTATGTAGTACTCAGTATGTCAGGCACATCGCAGTTGGAGCCCCGTTTGGTGTAAGTCCTCTCTAGTCCTTTCTCTCCTCCCTTCGGGGCAGCCAGTGTCAGCAGTTGACTTTATATCCTTTCAACTCATATTTATACTCTGTGTATTTTTGTAGTTTAAATTAACGAAACATGCATATACCTCTTAGCCATCACCATTCACTGCTGTGTGCTGTGACCTTAAGCAGCTTACAGTAACCGTCGATGCCTTAGTTTCTTCATTTATAAAATGGGGATTGTACTTGCATATTACTTTCCTCAGAGGGTTTTCGTGAGGCTCCGCGGCAGATTACACGTGCAGCACTTAGAGTAATGCCCCGTACACTGTGAGTGCGTCACAGATGTGTCACTGCTATTCTTTTTCTCATGGTAACCCTTCTTCTAGAAAACGTTATTTTGGAGCCCTATTCCCATCACTGCTTATAAATACAGTTCATTGGTTTTAACTGCTGTATACTATTCCTTCCCATGAAAAAAGCTCCAGTTTTTTTCCCCATTATCCTATTCTATGGACATTTAGATTGTTTCAGTTTTACAAAACAATTACAAAAAAAATGCTTCATGAACACCCTCGTGCACATCTTCCTGTGCACGTATGCTCATGGTTTACATTACGAACCTAGACATGGAATTGCTGGGTTATAGAGTGTGTACATTTTGAACTTTAGTTAATTTTGCCAAATTGTTATCTAGTGTGCTTGAAATAATTTATACTCCTACTAACAACATATGGGATTTCCCTTTT